ACCGGAAGTAGGAACTCTAATTTAAGGCTTTTTAATGCTGTTTTAATGCTCTAAGAAATAATTTTAATGCCATCAATAAGTACCCATTAGTCTCATGTATATATATATAGACATATACATAAAATCCTTCGTAATGTTTACCATCGACAGGCTGCAGCCATGTCCCCAATTTCTCGTTTTCCTGCCACTTATTTGCATTTTCACGTGGAACCAGTTAAATGTGATATATTTGACAATTTGTTTTTTTTATTAAGCATTTTAAATGCCATGATAATCACATTTAATAAATTTTAATGCCAATTAAGACCTTAATAAAAAAAAAAAATTATAATTTAATGACTTTTAATGATTTTTAATGACCCGCAGAAACCCTGAACGAGTTGGATAACATCAGTGGAGAAAAGGTGGAGGTGATGGAGGAGTATGAATACCTTGGAAAACAAATGGGATTGGAGACAAAACTGTAAAGGTGTCTACTGGAAGAGACAGAGCAGACTATAGAAGCTTAGGTCCAAAATGCTGCATATCTCCTATTAGTCTGTTGTGTAGAGTGTGATCTCTTCCTCTAACATCTGCTCGGGTAACAGCATCAGAGCAGATGACTTAGAAATGCTTAACAAGCTAATAAAGATGGCTATTTTAAAGGAACTCCCCTAGAACCTCTGAGATTATTTCAAAACAGAAGAATTCTTTATAAAGTGAAGAGGATTATGAATAACAGTGAGAATCATCTTCATCAGATTGTTAAACAACAACAGTGTCTTTAGTCAGAGGCTTCTCCAGATCCAGTGACAGACTGATAATACAGAAGATGCTTTCTTCCTACAGATATCAGCACCAACAACTGGTTAAAAAAAACTACAAGTTACTCAAACAGTTAATACACCTTTTGGATTAATAAAGTGTTTTTAAACTTGAATTGATTTTTTTATTGAAACAGCCACAAATTATCCTTTAGCATGTGAAAGCTGATAGATGAGCCATGTTACGGCATTCAAGCTGAAGTTTCTGACCGTGGTCAGGAGTCACCTGCACAGATTAGATTCAGACCCAAAATAAAAGCAAGCTCCTCCAGGCTTCATTATAGGCATGTCTGATTGAAACTTTATCTTTGCATGACTTATAGACTTCAGTTTTCTTTTCTTTAGTAAACATAAATTTAGTAAATTCCAGTCTGTTTTTCATGGTTGTTTTAACTGAAAAACGGTCCTTTATTTTAAACATAGATGCAATTAAAACCAATGCTTTTACTATTTAAATGTTTAATTTAAAATTCAAAACAAATTCAAATCAACCAATAAGTTTGTTTCTGACAGGAAATGAGACAGTCATCTCTTGAAATAACAGAACATAATAACAGAAGCATCAATTTGGACATTTTTGTTTCATGTTTTTAATTTGACTATTCATCTTTTCCAATAATGTCTAAACCTTTAACTTTAAAAAGTCCTACTTGCCATCACCCTAATCTTTTGCGTCCTTCACAAATTATTTTCCAAATTCCATGTTTCTGGCTGGACCTCTTGATAAAGTAAGTTACACTAAAGGAGGGACGTGCATGCTGAATTAAAAGATTACTTTGACTTAATCTGCCAGCGGCTTGCTCTCACCTTCGTGGTCTCTGGTCGCTGTCTAGTGCAAAACTGAATACTAAACCACCCAGCAGCACGGTTGCTCTTTCTGGATAGCCTGACTGTTTGAAGAAAGCTTGAGGGCACCTGTGATGTGAATAAAGATTACAGTTGGTTTAAATCACAAACACAATGCAAGTGTTAAAGGTTTCAACAAAAATATTTTATGTCACTGTAAAAGTAACCTAACTCGTTTGTTTACTCTCTTACATTCAAAAGGCAAATGGGGAGAACTGCTTTAGTGACATTATTTTGTAGAATATATGAAGCATTTCTTCCAACAAATGAGCATATTTCTGCAACCTAGAGGAAAAAAGAAACATTGAATGTAATCATTTGCGTGATTCTGAGTTATTGATCCTCATTATTGTGGAAAACATAAGAAATCCTCCACTAATGAGTCTCGTGCATCGATCTGCAAAAAAAAAAAAAGAAAAAAAGAAATGCCAGTTTAAACTTGTCTCCAACAGCAAGTCTTTGAACTCAGCGCAACTTCTAGAAAAGAAACTAAAGTTCTGGTTTATATCGGCTAATGTCTGTGTTTGTGTGGCTGTCACTGAGAAGTGATGCTGTGGAAGGATTTAAAGCAAGAGGTTCATGTGAGGAAACCCAGCAAGTTTAATCTTCCCTGAAAGGCTGAATAAGCTGAAAGTCCTTCATGCAGAAATGTAGTGGAGGTTATTTTCTGCACAGCAGGTCAGGCTGACAAGCTGAAGGAAAAGGTTTGCATAGCTTCCATTGTGCACATAACTAGTCCTGAATAATACAGAAAATGACAAAGGAAGGTATTTATAATTAAAATGTGATACTGTAATAAATTAAACTGTTGAGCTCTGTTCTATATCTGCTGTTCTGGTTTCTCTTTAATAGTCATAAGAAACAACAAAGCTATCACCAAGAACATGATGTGTCTCAGAGTTCCAGAAAGCAAGAAGGAAAGCGACAGAGCAGACGCGGGAACTAGTTCATGTGTAGAAGATGAGCGTTAAAACCTTTATGTGGTTGTGGAGCGCATCCTGTCCACATTAGGTTCTTTGCTCGGAGTTGATGAAGCTGTAACATTGGTTGGTTCTATGCCTTAAAAGTCTTAACAGTCTTAATGCATAGAAACCCACATCAGCATCAACTTACATTACTGTGCAAAAGTCTTAAACTCCCCTTATCTGCATCTAATTTAGCCTGTAAGGAGCCAAATGTGTCATTATTACTAGATTCTATTCAGGCTTTTCCGGAGAACTGTATATTTAACTTTTGTCCTTTTAACAATATAATCAGCTTGGTGGATCCAATGCTGGTCCATTTATGGTTTTAAAGCCATTCACCCATAGCAGTGGGTTTTCGTCACAGTTCTGGCACGGCGGTCTATCCTGCTTAAATGGAAGAAGTCTGTACCACCTTCTAATGGGCAGAGGGTGATGCATTGGTGGCTAATCTGAAAGTGGAACAACTACAGGGTATAACTGAAGGCTTGGAAAGGAAATGAAAAAAGCTGTGGCATTCGTTCCTACTTTATGCATGTCTAATAAATAATTTTATGTATTTATGAATTTTATTTTTTGTTATCTATGAATTCCAACTGGATGAATTTCAACTTTTTTTCTACTGGATGAAGTGATTAATCCAGGGTTGCTTGACCTCGGTAACCAAGGCCAGACACACCTGGATTAATCACTTAATCCAGTAATGAAAGACAGGAAACAAAAGAGCTGCCTTAAGTTCTGGAAATAGTGGAGTTTTGTAATCAATTATAAAATCTAAAAAACATTTTTCATGAAGCAATTTAAACGTGTGCAGATATACATGTCCTTAAAATATGTCTGACTTATCTTCTTGCTCCATCATTGTGTTATTCTGAGGAAGTAATACCCATGCATATCTGAGCTAACTTAACTTCATCCTTATGTCCAATTTTCTATGCTTGAAGTTCCTAATTCTACTGTTTTAACAACCAAGAAAGTATAGACACGCCATGGAGAGATCATACTGTTTTTAAAGGAGAATGGTACTGTCTCCAACAGATAAACTATATTTTTATGTGCAATGTGTGAATAAACCCCAGGAAAAATGCAAAAGAATGAAGATTAACAGAGAAACATATTCTGAACAGACATCGTCTCAAAAACCACTCGGAAAGAAGCAATTGCTATAAAACCAGAGAAGCCAAATTCCTGTTTGCACACTGCAAAAAATTGAAATCTCAATAACTATTTTTTTCTTAAAATAAGTGCATTTCTTCTTAAATTGAGGAGGCAAGTCGGACACTTCGCCAATGGAACAAGACAATTTACATTTAAAATAAGAAGAATACAATTGCATTGTCTTATTTTTAATTGCATATTATCTAATTATCTTATTTTCAGATTGCTCAGATTAAAGCTAAATACACTTATGGTATAGTGGAGGATTTTCATGAAATTTTGAAAAGACCTACCCCCTCTGCCTAAAAAAAATGCATATGCACCACCCTGTACCCAGGAAGGCGTGCTAGAGCATGCACGAGCCCATTTCTCTTTGTGCAAAAAAGATTTTCAATTTTTCCACTATGTCAGACTCACCACCGTTAAGTGAAAATGGGGACGAGCACGTGGACGGCCTTACGTAAACATATGCACCAGAATGCTCGACAACTCAAGAGGACCAATTATTTTGATGATCCAGCAGGAAAAAGAACATCCTCCACTATACCATGAAGAAATTTTTACTGATTTCTAGATTATTTTTGCAGTGCAAATGTTATCTCAGAAAAAGACTGTTTTAAAGACAAAAGACTAGAATTTAAAGATCCGACCATTGTTACACCTGGAAGAAAAAAAAAAAAAAGATTATCAATCTGATCAGCCCGTCCTCTTTACTGATACAGATAGGACCAACTGGGGTGCAGCCCTGAAAGAACAAAGTATAGAAATTTAGAATTAATTTAATGAAAAAAAAAAAAAAAAGAAAACTTCATGCTAGTCTCTAGTGTTTCTGTTAATAGTCTGATTATAGGCATTTTAAAAAAATTATATACGAGTTACTGCAACATTTAATTTCCCTTTGGGATTAAAAAAGTATTTTTGAATTGAATTACACTTTTTCAGCACAGAGGTTCATGATGGAAGAAATGCGTCTTAGACAAATTCAAAAAGAAACAGAGTCTTCATCTTTTTAAATAGTACCAAACAAATGTCTGCAAAGATCTCTTCCTTTTAATCAAGAGTTTAGGTTTTTATAAAGCTGTCAAATTCTGTGAGGTGCTGGAACTAAGTCTGCAAACCTTTGTGTTGTTTTTCTCCTAAAGGTTTTAGAGGCCCAGAACATTTATCCACTAAATGAAAATATCTCTCTTTAATCTGCAACAAGCAAAACGGTAGGCAACAGAAGTTTAGACAAACTTTGTTTTTTACTCTCTAAACATGTTTACAGATATAAAGCATTCAGTGTAAAAAAAAAAATAGGATAAACAACAACAATCTATAAAGAAACCTTTTTTCCCCTAGAAAGTAGAACTGTCTTTTCTACATTCAAACCTTATTCCTAGAAACATACAGGATGATTATGATTCAATCGTGGTTCAAAAACCAAACCTGACCTAAAATCCCAGCCCGCCCCACCTCTCGCCGCTGCTGTATGTTTTCACTGTAGCGTATAAGTCAGCCAGACTTGGAGAAGCAGCTCGCTTGATATTCCTTTTCATAATGTATCAAACCAAGGAGACTTAAAAGGCGAGATCTGCAGGGACGAGATCTGGAGCACATGCTATAAATATTAATAAGGTGCAGCAAACTTACACACCTTATTAAAAACTTTATACGTAACGACATGCTCCAGATCTCATCTTGTTGTACTGTCCTGTTAGATTGTTCATCCGGAGATATCAGGCTCAGAGTTGGATGAAGTATACATTTTGGTATGTTCCTGTTAGGAGAAACACTACCAAAAAGGCATGTATCAGTGAGGTATTATGACTTTACAGCAGCAGCAAAAGGACGGTTTCATCATCAAGCCAGAATAACGAGTATTTTCCTGCTAGATGGCACATACTAAGACAGACTTCTGTTCTTTCTGTAGCTTGATCAAACTTTCACCTGAAGAATACGTTTCTAAACAGGTTTTTTTTTTTTTTTTTTTACGTGTCCTGAGCTAAAAAAGAAAAGTAAAATAAAGAAATCCTGAGGTTATTTCTCCTCGGTCTCCACGGTTAAATCTGCTCGCTCTTTCTTTATTGAAATAGTCTCCTCTTTTGCACTCCCGTCCTCTACTAGCTCTGTCGCTTCTCTTTTCCTCTCCTGCTTGATGATGTCCCTTTTCACCTCGGCCTTTGCAGAAACGTTGTGAGGGGGCTTAACGTCAGCGTTGGTGTCAGACGGGGCAGAGCTCTCACAGATGGTTGGTCCCTCCCATTTTGGAATTTCTAAATCAAGCAGCTCCATCAGCTGCTTCATGACATCGTCCACATAACCGTTGATACGTAGGTGGGCGTGTTTGTCCTGCAAAACAGACAATCAATGAGAGAGGATGGGGATCCTGCTTTTCGTCATGCATGTTGTTAAGACAAACCAACACTTAGTAGCAGATAATTGTGAAGCAGAAGGAAAAGGACCCATAATTTTCCTGTATTTCTTTAATGATTTATTTAGGTACTGCCTTGTTTTCAGGCTTGTCAGTTTATTATTTTCAGAAATTTCTTTTGCTGCATTTATAAGGTAAAACCCTGAGGATGTTTCTACCAGGTTAATACATCTACAGACTAGACTAAGATAAACTAAGACTTTTTGTTGATATTTATGACAAAATTGGCATTTTTATGTATTGTATATTGCTACTTTTAATTATATCAGTAGTTTCTTCTTCAATTGTTCTAATTTGTTCCAAATTGTAATTTTCTAATGTATTTGAACTATTCTTCCCTTTTGTCCAACATTTAATAAAGCTGTTAAATGCTTTAAATGCTTTATTAAAAAAGTTAGCCTGACAGTAAATCTTCAAAAACACCTTTAATTTTTTTTTTTTTTTACTGTATTTAGGTCTGGATTGTTTTAGTTCAGTTCCAATGTAGCTCAGGCTGAAAGTAGATTCTCTGCTCCAGTCTCAAGTTTTTCCTTCCTTCCAACTAGTTGCAACCAAGGATTAACAATAGCTATATGTATGTTTTATACAAGGCAAATTATGTTGACATCAGTCTAACCAATCTCCGATATGTGCTGGTGATATTTTGAGACTGATAACGCTCTTTTTTCTTCCATTTACAGGAAAAAAAAACTACATTGATAAGAAATGTTACACAAGTCTACATTTAAACAAAACAGAAACATTTATCAGCTGCTCAGTGGAGCAGTGGGTAGCACTGCTGCAAGAAGGTTTCCGGTTTAATTCCCGGCCTGGGGTCTTTCTGCAGGGAGTTTGCATGTTCTCCCTGAGCATGCGAGGGTTCTCTCCGGGTACTCCGGCTTTGTCCACACAGCCCAAAAACATGACTGTTAGGGTAATTACCTTCTCTAAATTGTCCATAGATGTGTGTGTGTGTGTGAATGGTTGTTTTTCCTGTTTGTCTCTGTGTTGCCCTACGATGGACTGGCGACCTGTCCAGAGTGGACCCGCCCCTCGCCCATAGACAGCTGTAAATAGGCACCAGCAACCCTGCCTGGGTTGTGTGACAGAAAACGGATGGATGGAGAATATTAAATAAATATTGACAATGTGATTTTAAAGCACGGATGAGTTCTTGTTAAACGTATAATGCACTGTAGCTTTATTATTCTTTTTTTTTGCACATTTCTTGCTTCTTCTTTAGGGAATTAATGTAACTTTTGATTTTCCCTAAAGGTCACAGTTTTACATTGCAAGACTAATGGCTGTCCTGTTCAGAGTGCTTCTGTGATCAGAAACCTTTCAGTTAAGGTGGACAGCCATGTATTACCGTAGTAGCTTTATAGCATTGGTTTCCCTTTTCTAAACAAATGTCTTTTCTAGATTTTCAAGGCTTGGGATGTAGGTTTATGTTTCTTGGTTTTGATGCTCCTTGTTCACCACATTTATCCAAACAAACCCTCAGATCAGCTGCCTTTATACTGAAATTAACTGATATAAAGTTGCACTTTACTTATCAATCAGGTGCCTATAAAAGACATTTTTCTTTATACTACTAAACAACTTGTTTTTTTGTGCTGGTTTATTACCTAAAATATATTCGCCATTGTTATGTTATAATATGGTGTGAATAGTTTGGCACACAGCAGAGTCGGTTTTTATGAGCTTAACATTTTAGTCTGAAAGACAATCTGTGGACCAGTTCTATTACGGTAGTTATTTTCATTTGTAAAATAAATAAAAGAAAAAGCCTTTGGATCCTTGCCTAATGTTCTGTTTATGTCAGAGATCCCTGTTTGAGTCTGATTGCAGTGAACAGACCTGAAAATTATAATTATCCCTCAAATAATGGCCTCCACTGTAACCGTTCATCTAATGAAATGTTTTCTCTTTGTAATTACAAAACCTGAGCAGTGCTATTAGTCAGAGTATGATGAGGGAATGAAAAATTCAACGTTTGAGTCTTTAACAGAAACTGAGGTAATCCAAAATAGGTTCTCTATTTACCTCCCAAACTCCCTGGGTCTGCTTCAGAAAAACAAATGAAAAAACTACCTAAAATATTGTATTTTAATTGTTAAGTTTCATTCAAATAACACAGAATATTGATTCCTGATGCCGTGGCACTTGATGGGTGTTTGATCTTTTTATTTTAAAACCCAGACTGAGACTGAACCAGTCAAACTAAATTAAATGAAACCCTCTTTGTTGGTTACAGAAAAAAGCTGCTTTGAAACACTAGCTGGCAGGCAACCAACTGTAGGCTCTACCAGCAGATGGTCTGACTGACTAACCAGCTGGTATAAAGCTTTTATTCTCTCATTGTTAGTCTGGAAAGAGCAAAAAGACAGAATTGTTATTCGAAGCACTTAAAACTACAATAGCCTTTAGCCTTTTTCACTTCTATTTATGTTGCTTTTGCACAGGCATCAAAATAAAAAAATGTTTCAGATCAAAATATTATTAATTATTTAAGCAGCACAAGGAAGAACAGTTGCTAAGATGAAGCCATGGAGTTTCTACAGAAGCATCTGTATATTCCTTCTGCTGAGCTCTGGATTAAGTCTAGATGTGTCGTGGCGTGATGATGAGACTCACATGTTTGGTTGGCTGCAGGTTGACTATAACCACTTTCCCTCCTTTGCGCTTTGTGAGGAGAGGAAGGTCCCCACTGGGTTTGATCTGCATGGACGTGCCCAGAGTCAGAGCCAGGTCTGCTCGTCTGCGTGCCAACACAAGGGATAAAACTCAGGCAAAATAAGCAGATGTGACTATTTGACATTCGTATGATTAGCCTGTTAGTCCTCAAGGGTAATTCCTGCATGTGGGCGTGTATGAAAGTCAGGGTGGAAAACAGCAAATGGGAAATATTTGGCAAGCATCGCAGGGGATTCGGTTAAAATTTGTTTAATTGCACTTGTGAAAAAAAATTATATTAAACATGTCTCTGACATTTTCACAATAAAAAAAGTACATATAGCAAAGATAAAGGTTTACCATGCAATGTCAACTTATAGGCATTTTCACTTGATTTTTTCGTGAGCAGTTAAACAGCACAGAGTTCCTGCAGATAAAACTAAACCCTAACAAAACGTAGCTGGACTTTTGATTCCTAAGATTCTTATTTAGCTCTTATCCCACGCGTCTGTAGTTCCAGCTGACCAGCAGGGAGTTTCAGGCTCATAAGCTGCTGTTGGATCATTCATTCCTTGGGGCTGGTTTGAAAATATCTCATTTAGTGAATATATGTGATTTGAAGAAAAGGTCTGAAGGGAGCTTAGAGTGGAAGAAATACCATCGTCTGATGTTGAGCTTTTCTACATTTTCTGTACTCAAAGTAGCTCAACTTAACCTGCTTTTCTTTCCAATTTCTAACTACAAATCATCTGGAATTATTATAGCTATTATTTTTACATTAAACCAAAAGCACATCAAGGCACATTTTCTGATGTTTTGTATTCCAGACAACCTGAAAGAAGTTTTCTTTGTAGCTTTTTTTCCTTCTTTTTTAATCAGAATTACATTTGTTTGTTTCCAGAGTTGCCATCTTTTGATTATTTAAGTCAACAAAATAAAAAAAACAAACAAACAGGAAGTTGTTTTAAAATTAGCCCTTTTCAGCCATATTCTGGCTTTAAAAAGCATAAAGAACGCAGTGCAAAGCTTTCCAGAACATAATTTAAGTTTACCTAAGGACTAAATGCAAATGCTGAGTCACTGGTGCAGCTGCCATTTATCTCATACAACAAACATGTCTATCATATTTTTAGAGAAATTTACAGATTGATAATTTCAAATGTCAGGGTAGAAAATCCACTCAAATGCCACATCAGGCCTCAGAATGCTTCCACACCTTTGCTGGTGTTGACTCTCAGTTCAGCAAAGGTTAAACAGGATTTTCTTTAAAGGTGGGCTACATTTCTAAGATCATTTTCCTCCATTAAGTTTCTCTGAATTATCAGCTCGGTAGAAGGCTTACTTTGTCTTAATCTAACAAAGCAGCTTAAAAACTATGGCAGATTTAAGCAGAAAAAAATCAAGTTCTGGGCAAAGTACTTGACAGAAAGGACACTGAAAAAAAGAACAAAGAAAGTTAAGAAAAGGGAAACTTTTAGACGTCTTCGGCACTTTAAGCACACAGAGTAGCCTCTCTGTAATTAACTGTCCACTCTTTAGACTGAACATTAAATACAAAAAAAGATTGGGATGTTTTAAAAGGCAACTCTTTGACGTCTCCTGTATAATTTGCTAAAGGAGTCTTGGTTTTCTTGGTCAAACTGAATTTTAATACATAGTGATCAGTGGCTTTTGATTTCGTTTGCTTTCTCAACGCTTGTCAATGCGTAGTCATCTAGAATGACTTTTAAAGAGAAAAACTGCTACAAATTTAGCTAATATCCATATCTGGGATTTTGAGTCTGGTTCATTTAACATGAAATTGGGGATATTCCCATTAAAACTGCGTCATATTGCAGGTAATAAAGGAGAGATCAGCCAGCGGAACACAGCAAACTGTGTAACATCATATGCACAATGTCACACATGCTTTGCAGCATCATGAACTGATTCTAGACTCTAGGATGTCAGCAGCTCAGTGTACTTCTCTAAAATGGGATTTAACTTTAATTGCCAAAATAATTAGTAATTTATAATTAGGCATATAAGTAATAAATAATTACTTATATGCCTGGACTCAAAAAAAAAAAAAAAACAGGCATCTAGAAATTCAGACTACTTCTGCAAGCATCACTGAAAGAACATATTAATAACAGGAGCTCAGGGAATTCCACAGTGAGATTAAACTAAATTTCATGCAGCATTTAGCTCATGAACTTCTGACTCTATCATAACAGTTTGTTCTTTAAAAATATGGATGAGCCATTTTGGTGTACAAGAACATGTCTGGTCTGGATATGATTTTTAAAGAATTTATTTGTAAATTTTGATGGAAAATAAGTATTTGGACACCCACAAACCAGCAAGATTTCTGGCTCTCACAGACCTACAGCTTCTTCTTTAAGAAGGTCTTCTGTCCTCCACTAGTTACCTGTATTATTGGCATCTGTTTGAACCCTTTTCTGTATAAAAGACACCACTAAATACTTTTTTGTCCCCACTGCATAAGTCAGAACTTTTCATCCCACATCAGTGTGTGACCTCATAAGTGTGCCTCTGGAAGAACGTTCAGCCTTTCCCATCGATAGATTCCTAAACCCTGAGGATTCAAAGCCGCATTTGTATTCTTAGGGATAAAAAAATGGGGTCAATTTAAGGCAGCCAATGAAATGCTTAAGGCTGTATAGCAGGGTTCCTCAATACTAGTCCTCAAGGTCAGGTGCCCTGCACCTTTCAGATGTGTCTCTACTTCACCACAGCTGAGTCAGAGAATCAGGCTATTAGCAGGACTCTTGAGAACTTGACTCCCAACTGAGGAGGTAATTCAGTCATTTGATTCAGGTGTGGAAGCAGAGACATACCTTTAATGCAGGACTCTGAACCTCGACGGCTGGTATTGAGGAGCCCTACTGTGTTGTGTGTATCTGGCAAGTAGGTTTTCAAAGAACAAGACCATTTGCATAACATTGTGCGGCAAAAAAAAAAAAAAATCTTCAGGGTTTGTAAGCATCATTTTTTGCCTCATTTATTATTCTAAGGCTGTCAATCGAGAAATTTTTTTTTTCCATCTTTTATTCATGCTGTTCGGAAATTCTTGGGTAACTTTTTGAAAACGGTAAACGGTTGTATTAGGAAAACATTCGGTTTGCGAATAACACTCCAGTAACACACCACCTTAACGACAGCTTGTGTTCACCGCAATCCTCTTCTCTGTACCACTGCGACTAAAATAGGGCTAATGCAACTAATCCCTGTCAGGTTCTTACAAAAGACCATGCTGGATGCAGCTCTGGTTTCTACAACAATTTGCACATTCTTCAAAATAACAAACTTGGACAAAAGAAAAAAAAACAGTTAGTTGGTAGAGGTTAGGTCTAATCACATACACCCTCGAACATCTAAAGCCTGACAGCTCAACAATAAATCAACTTTAAATGGCTCACTTATATTTTTACAATTTTTTTCACTGGCACGAACAAACAATTCAGAGTTCAAAGGTCATTGCTCTAAATCCTCTCTCTGCAATTTAGATGGTAATTATGAGTCTATTGTGATTCAATAGATCAAGGAGACATTCGTGCATCCTTTTCCTCTTGCAGCTTTGAAAACACGATAAAAGCTTTTATGGCTGAAGGAATGAATGAAAATGTTCTGCGGAGGACATTAAAGCTGACTGAGATGAAATACATAAAGCCTGAAAAAGGCTTTCAAACAAACCCTTCAGGATAGTGGTGCTAAAGTTCCAGAGGCTTCAGACGAATCAATCCCAACACCTTGTCTGAATTTTTTTTTTACTTCCTAGCAGATGTCTGAAGCAGCATTTATACCTTTTGGGCGTCAGATGAAACGGGGATGTTGAAGGAAACAAGGCTCGTAAAGTGAAGGATCTGTGTGTTACTCAGTGATAAAGACAGGTGATGAAACAATGATTTATGTTCGTCTCACCTGCTTGCATCATCTGCTCTGTTCAGGTCTCTGTCAGGAAGAGCATCCTCCCAATCCAAAATAGTGCTGATCAGCTTTCCTCTTTAGGGATTAGAAATAAGTAAAAACACTGATAAATAGGTCATGTTAAGCGGTTTTTCTTTTTCCTTTTAAATGCACGGTGCGTGTTTTTTTACCTGCAGGCCCTCAGCCCTCTGGACCGCACCACCTCACAGTAACGTCCTGTTGGTTTCAGCCCCATCACACCGATCACCTTTTCCCTCACGTACTGCCTGGAAAACAGCAAATCCCTAAAGTTTAACACTTGAATGCATCCACCTCCATTTGCTCTACTTTCAGGAGAGAAAAAAACAAGCAGTTGAGAGTCATCGCTGTGATGCCCCTATAACCCTCACTTACACAAACTTCATCAATTTATCAGTCAGAAGAAGAATTAACAAACGCTCTGAAAGGTTTGGAACTTTTTTTTTTTTTTTTACATTTTGAGGCTGAAATACTGTTTGAACATCAAAAGCATTGCTTTTCTAGGTTATTCCTAAGGTTACCTACTGACTGAGGGGAAATAAGCTGTTTTCTTTTTCATGGGAACATTGGAAGACAAAAAATGACATGAAAGAGGGGATATTGTTTAGCAAAGGATATAAGGACACAATAATATAAGAAATTAATGCAAATTTATTAATAATTAATTCTATGTCTGGTGTGAGAAGGGAATGAAACTTTTGATGTTGACTGGAGCTTCTGTTTTTCACTCCTATTCTCAGTCTGCTGCAGGATCTACCCTTATAGGCTCTTTGAGCTTCCAACCGTTTGGCATTTACTTGAATATTAATAGGTATGTTTTACCTTCAAGGAAAAGGAGGAACATTACTGAGTTTAACCCAACACAAAACCTGAACCCTCGCAGTCAGATGGCAGAAATGCAGACACCAGTGATGGGGATGTGCAGGAACACAAAGACTTTCTGCGAGCTGATGTCTGAGGATAGTGACTGAGCGTCTTTGTCTGCATGCTTTATGGATTATGCTGCGGCCACAGAGTGGCTGCTTCTATAACTTAGGAATTTCAAGTAAGAAGCGAACACAGATTCCTGAGGTGTTCATGAAATGTCTGAAATGCTTCATACTCAAATGCCACAGAGATGAAGGCTGATAGTTTTCTTTTAGCTCTGGGTTTAGTTTTTTTCTTCTGGCTGTATGGGGGGGGGTAATGCTTGCAACTCCAAACCCTGAGTGCTCCTCTGGGAGGGAGCCTATTTTCAGGTACAGCCTTATGTTACCCTGCTAGTTATAACATCTATTACACTTGGTGATTTTTAAAAAAGTGCTGCTGACGTACAGAAATCATTTCAACCACAATTTTGTCACAAGAGAAATACAATTTTTGACAACTTAAAGCACCGCTGTCATGTATTCCATGTATTGAAGCAATGGAAAAAATGGTTTAAGAGGGGTGAAACACGTGCAACACTTGGAATAAAATATGAACATTTCTGTTCACTGAAAAAGGAGGATAAAAAAAAACAAGACACTAAACAAAAAAACAAAAAAATCAGATTTCACTGACCATGCTGATCACTGAATACACAGCATTACTATTACTGAAAGCAGTACAGCAAGGTTATTCTTATGCCCTTTAGTAATAGTGATGCAAACGTTTATTCAGTATTTAATCCCTACAATATTGACCTTTATTTTGGTTTCCATTGTGGTATACAAGCTGCCGGTAAACAGCTTACAAAAATATGAAAATTAGATTTTCAAGCTTAAAAAAGGCCGACTGCAACTAACGACTATTTTGCAAAACGCTTAATCTGTCGGTTATTTTTTCGATTAATCGATTAATAATCAGAAAGCCAAAGGTTCCTTAAAGAACATTTTCATACAGAATGAATCCTGGTGAAACCTTTCCACTTCTGGAGTTCTGGATAGATCATATCGACAAACGAAAAACATTTTTTTATGATAAATGCTAAATGTTTACATTTTTTTTTTTTTTACAATGCTGATATAATTATTGCTCTAAGTGGTCACTCTGTCAGCTACAGGCATGTTTTGCAGTCTCTATACTTCATTTAATTATTAATCGATTACTAAATTAGTTAACAATTATTTCAATAATCGATTAATCACAATTGTTTCAGCCCTAAATAAATGGTATCTAACAAAGTCAAAGGACAATCTTAATCATATACTTTGTTTATACAACTTGAAATTGGGATGAAGAAAACATTTGTTCAGTATATTTACATAAAAGTGTTTGATTGTGAGGCATTAAAAACCACAAAATGCAACAGACCCACAAACATTGGCTGAGTAACAACAATATGAACACCATGCAATGGTTAGTATAAAAACTTGTCATACTTTGCTTTAAGCCAAGATAAATGTGTTTTTTCTTCATTTGTTTGAGTCATACTATGTGACTAGGTCTAAATGAGCTGCAATTATTACTCTTATTTACATAATAATATTTTTAAACTGAAATCACTAAGCTTGGAGCAACATGGACTGTAGGATAGCTACGTTGGCAGCTAATCTGATCTATAGAAGCAGCTCACATCAGTTTATTTAGAGTCGTGTTGCTCTGCACGGCAGTAAATTATGAGGCCTGTGGGATGGACTTTGATCACATGCCAACATGGGATATATAGTATAAAAATAGGGGGGAAAAACAACAACAAAACAAAGAAATCAAGAGTTGGAAGGAAACAGATCAATGTGGATAGGGCATACATCATCTTGGCCACAGCAACAATATCACAACTACATGCTTTTCTAAAATTGTGCAAACTAAATGGTTTGGGATTAAATCTACGGGAAAGAAAAACAGCAGCTTTGTCTTTTAGAATAGGAGCAATTAGACCATGTCGTCTCCTTCCGTTTTATTTAAATTGTACGAATACCATGATCAAATTTAACTGCTGTATCTCTTTGACAGGTTATCATACTTTGAGAATCTCATACCAGTCCATGCATACTCTCCACACTAAATAATAAGCTTACTGACGACTATTAAAAACCCTGGTTTGAAGCGAAGTCACTTTCCCATGACTAACAGAGAAAACATGAGAATAACTTGCATTAGTGATTTTAGAAGCTTGATAAAAGTCTGCAGTGCTGAATGTCTTTGAATATATTCTTTTTTGACAGGCCTTATTGCTTCACTACGGCATTTGTAGTTTTGTCCAAACACATTTACACTTTAATTCTACAGACAGCAAGAAATAATAGAACAAACAGATGCCTCTGTTTATTTATTTAAAAAAAAACTGTCAGAGGAAATGAATTTAAAAACAGGATGGAATTTAAAACCAAGTTAGGAAAATCTGAGTTTTCAAAACAGTTTTGAAAGTTTAAAATACAGATAAATTAATTTCATCCTTTCATTGATGTTTTAAGACCTTGCAGAAACCCTACTTTTCCCACGATATGCTTTAAAATAAGCTTTATGATCAAATGGTAACTGCTGCGGGCTTGTGAGGGGCCATGCACGTACCTTCCACACTTCTCGCATTCCTCCACAAACATGTTTCCATGAAGCTCTGATAGTTTATCCCTAGAGGAAGAGGAAGATAAGTTCACAACAGAGGGAAAATACAAAAAAAAAAAGTAATAATTTACATAAAAACCTAAAGCTAAATTAACTCTGTGGATTCCCTAGAACCTTCTTTTACAGTTCTGTGATTCCCTAAGCTTACGTCTTGTCTTGCTTCACCAGGTATGACTGCAGATTAATCGGGACCAGTTTACTCTACCAGTCCGTCTGCCGTTTCGGTGATTTCCTCTGAGAACTTCTCCTTCACTGTCTGACCTCATTTCAAAAAGCCTGATTGAGGGTGGAGGAAGAGCTATGTAAATGGTTTCCAGGAAAAGCAAGTCCTCCAATATGCGGAAAGGCTGGATGTGGGAACAGAATAAAAAATTGGACTTTCAGCCCTGGGCTCAATTCAATATGACTGAGTAATACTTAAGCAGACCACACACTCTCAGTGACACCGAGAATTGATTTCAAATTAACCAAGCTGTGATGCTGCGGCAGCTGGTATTACAAAACAGCAGCAGCTGCCTCAGATTAAAAACAATGAGTCAAAGCCCAAAGTCTATTTAACAGTTATTCATTACATTTTCTACTCCAGCTGTTTAAACACTCATAACACCAACGGTCTAACTACAAAAACATAAGAGACACTTCAGGCCAAAAGCACAAATAGTCTCTGGATGTTAAAACTACTTAAGGTTGGGAGATTTCCCTCGGGCATATGAACATCTATCTTACTTCAAAAGCTTTCAAAGGGGATTGAAACTGACTGCTGGACAATTATAAACAACAACAGAATGTCTTCCTTTTTCTTGGTGTCCTGTTGTGATTTTGGCTGCATACCCTCATACAAATTCATAAAATAGCTTCTGCAGCATAGCATTTAATCTTCTGTACTAAACATTACCAGAATATCCCTTCTTATTTTTGCCATTTTTTTTAACCTAAGACACAGATTGATGTTTTCTAAAAGTACTCTATTTGGGGAGCTGGGATTTATTTACTCAACCAAATCCCATAATGAAAAGCCTACCGGGCGGCTTCTGGATCAAGCTGGCGAGTTCCTCCTTACACAATCTGGTAAATTTGATACATCAGTTAACTCTGCTTTTTGTAAAACAAATCCAGAATGTGTTTCGTTTGTACCTCATATCTGCTATTGCTGCTTTCATTGGCTAAAAGCCTGACATGGAGGCATGTGCCACTTGCAGGAATTGTCCCTCCATTTTGCAAACACTTGCTACAGGAGCCTTTCCAGATGGATAATGTGTAGAACTCAAACTGAACCATACGGATCAATCTGGCTTATGCCAGGTTATTGCTGTCCTTTTATTTTACTATTATCTCACTATTGTTATTTCTGATAGTCCAAGTGTGTTCAAGTACGCAAACAACTACTCTTGTGTGCCACTTTAACAGTGCCTCCTTCTTGTGACAACGTCTGTAAAGATTTTTGCATGCCAGTTTGCGCCTGTGCTAAATATAGTCCTAGAAACTGCACTCGAAGTCGTTTTCAGGTTTAATAAATCGCTTTGTGGCCATTTCTTACATCTACATAACCTCCTCACAGTCATTTGTGCGCTCTTAGGGTCTGCACAAGTTCTGTATATTCATGAACCCAAACTCCCTAAATGGTGCCTGCTGTTACACTCATTTAAACATAATGATCTGCTCAAATACCTCACAGAATAGCTTTGTGTTTGCAATAAGGTATGTATGCATTTTTATACACGCAAACCTTTTGAAGATCAGGCCCACTGGGGAGAAAACAAGTTTTTTACTCAACACCTTAGCACCAAAAACACATCTATAGCACCAAAAACCGAGCAAGCATTACCTGGGGAAACCTGATCGAACATGCAACCCGTCGACATTCTGGCTGATGAGATATTTCAGGTATCCTGCCCTCTGCAGTCCCAGGAGGGCCATGTGAGTCAAACTAGGGCGGGCATCTTCAAATGTGGTGTCAAAGTGAGGGGACTCACCCTTTTCTTCCAGAGTCCACACACCCTTGGGACCCCTGAAAGAGAATAAATGGTGGAGACATTACTCTGATTGGAAAGGTGGTAACGTAGCAGGCGAAGTAGAAGAAAAACATTTCTGACTTAAACTTGGACAACTTTTGTTGTATGCAAAACATAGAGTGTATACTAGGGCTGGGTATTATCGCCAAAGTCCTGAATTGATTTCATACAATTCTAAATCGATTAATTTCTATTCAATCTGTTTTTAGAATAATGAAAGTGGTTCAACTGTGTTTCAAAATACTCATGTCTTTTAATTTTTCCTGTCACATCAAACACAAAGTGAAAACTTGTAAATCAGACAGTTTAAACTTGAGATGTGACCAAAACTGTCTCAAACTTGTTTGTGAAAAGTGAAAAAGTCTTCAGTCAACCTATTGGCTATATTTGCAGCTGTCTGGCTTGAAGTAAGCCTGAGTGCATCTTTCCTGCTCATTTGAATGTGAACGTCACCCACTTCACTATAAAACTAATCGATCTCATTCCCTAGACATTGATTTTGCAAAAATGTAAAGGAATCGATTCAAAATCGATTAAATCAATCAAATGTAAACAGTGTGAGAGAAAAAAAAACACTGAAAAAAACCGCATTGATATGGAAGTTCAGAGCATTAAATAGATATATGGTGCAATTATGCAGTGTTTGGGTTTGGTTTTATCAGTGTGTTGCAGAGTCTGTGACATTAGAGTTTTTTCAACAGTTCAGCTGTCTGATGGCGATGGGGGAGAAGCTGTTTCAGAATCAGCTGGGCCTGCATTGAATGCTGCGAAGCCTCTTCCCAGAGGGCAGCAGGGAGAACAGTCCATGGTGGGGGGGTGATGGGGTCATTGATGATGTTCAGAATCAGAATCGGAATCAGAATCAAGTTTATTGCCAAGTAGGTTTGCACTTACAAGGAATTTGACTTGGTGTTGTTGGTGCAGACAAAAAAAAAAACAAAACAAAACGGGCTGAGGACACGCAGCGCTGGGATGAAATGTCTTTTATGGAAGGAAAAGGAGCCCCAATGATCCTCTCTGCTGTTCTCACCACTCTTCTCACCTTCTTCCAGTCAGAGGCGCTGCAGCCTCCACACCATACATTGAGACAGCTGGTCAGAACACTCTCTATGGTGCTTCTGTAGAAGGTTCTGAGGATTGGTGGTGGCAGGTGGGCTCCCCTCATCCTCCGCAGGAAGTACAAGTGCTTTCATGCCTTACAGTCCAGGTAAGGTTGTCTGATGTGCATCCCCAGGAATGTGGTGCTGCTCACCACCTCTACTGCTGAGCTGTTGATGAGCAGTGGAGCGTGGTTAGGCCGGTTCTTCCTAAAATCGACGATGATCTCCTTCGTTCTCTCCACAATAAGGATCAGGCTGTTATCTCTGCAGCCTGCATTACTTCAACAGCATTAAAGCAACAGAGCTTACTGAAGGGATGAACTGGCAGTAGGAGCTTCAAAATATGTCAAAATAATTATTGTAATAGATTGAGATGTGTAGACGAAGATGGAAACTTATAGCATCATAGTGAGGAAAGCAGGCTTTCTAAAACAGAAACAACATTGTAGCTTTTGCTTATGATGTTTCCTTAAGATAAACATAATTCCCCCCCATTACCTCAAAGTTATTTGGAAAAAATAAGGAAATCTGAATCCAGCAAACACATACCTAGGACTGAAACAATTAATCAGTTTAATCATGATTAATCAATTATTGAAATGATCGTCAACTAATTTAGTAATTGCTTCATCGTTAACTGGAGTATAGAGACTCTAAAACGTACCTTTAGCTGACAGAACAACCTAGAGCAGCAATTATAGCATTCAAGGTAAAAAAAAATTTTTTAATCTGTCAATATGCTGTATCCAGAACTCCTCAGGTGGAAAAATGTTCATTTCACCTGGTTAATTTCATAAAAAGTCTTCTTTAAGGAACCTTTTGCTAATAATAACAGATTTGCAAAATAATCATTACTCACAGCCCTAAACATATCAAGCAATAAGTTCCAATGTTATAAACTAATTGTATTAAAGGTATTCTATTGAAATTGTATCCAAGTGGATAGGAGTGTTTTTCTCCAGTTTTACTGATAAACATAATGCTGCCAGAGCTGCAATCATCAAACCTCCAGGAAGTTGCCAAGTTTCTTCCAGAAAATAAAAAAAATAATCTCTATGCATCAAACACAGGTAAGCATAATGCTGCGACAGACTCACATCTCTCTCTCAGTCTGAACTTTCAACAGCCTCATCATGCTTCATCTGCAGTAGTTTATTGCTTGCTCAGCAAAGATGAGCTCAAAGGCTTATCAGAGACATTAAAGTGTACATCAAATCACACATCAACATAAATAAAAATGGCTGCAGGACACAAAAAAAAGTTCATGCATTTAATATGGGCCTAAGGCAAATTAAACTTTTTTTTGTCTTTTTCTATAAAGATTATAAAGCATATTGGGAAGTTTTGCTTCACTTTACTCCTCAGGGTCAACATATTTAAAATTCATCTCATGCAGATCTTCATGCATATGACTGCTTATACATAAAATAAGCACAACGTTTTACATTTTTCATGCTTTCTGTGGCAGAACATTAGAAAAAAGATTATATTTTATATACTAGGATTTAAATATTGATCAATACAGACACAAAAGTACAACAGAATGGAGGAAAAATCACCACAACAAAAGTTTAAAGGTAACCCTTTTCTTTACAATCTCACTTCAGGTCAATAAGACAAGTGTGATTCATTTGTTAAGCTCTCCTCTCCATTCTAACCTATTTAATAAAGGAAAATACAATACTAAAACATGTAACTGATGAAGCTTCTCTGACAGAGAGTAGTTTGTCCTAAAACCAACAGAATAAGAAGAAACAACATTCCCTCTGTTTAACCAGAAAATATGTCCGCATCTTTTTCTAATTTCTACAAATGTAAAAATAGAAAATAAACAAAACTATCAAAGTTCTTTGGGTGGGTACATTTTGACTGGATATGGGAGTAATTCTTAATACTGAAAGGATAAATATTGCAAACAAGGCATAAAAAGCTTATTTATTTAGCATCAGGGTCCCCATTGTTAAAAGATAATTAAATTTTTTTATTCATTTATTTGACAGGGACAGAATATATTAGTAAGCATTCCTGCAAATGCACCAGAATTAGCCAAAAGGCTATTTTTCATCTGTTGTCCCTGGACAGATCTTCAAATTGTCTACCATGCACATCAGGAGAATCTCCTCATAACCAGCAACATGAATACATCTAAAATTGTGAGAAGTTTAAATATCAATCAGAGACCTTTCCAAAAGCCAAGGGTCAATCAAAGGATCATAAGAAATTGGATTTACAGGTAGATTTTCTCTATGAATGTAACAGATAATAAGCTCAACTACCATGTCTTATACAAGCTCACCACGCAAGAATCCAGTAATGAAGGAAACCTGCTGTGACTAATTTAGGAGTTTGCTATAAACCATTTTGACAAACCAAGAATACAGCCTGATGAGAGATCAAAATAAAACCCCAAAGATGTTACCGCACATCACCCTGAAGACACCACAGGGACACGATGCCTTCTAGAGATCAAGACTAGAAGACCTCATAACTATAAAAAAAAAGATAGAGATATTAACCCGATAATCAGCATGAATTATAAATACTTTCATTGCTTATTTATAGTGTGAAATGATAGAGAAGGCTTTTTACAAGGACTATTTCTTAAACAGAGAACAATACTTAACAGCATCAGGTATTAAAACAGTGATTTCTAATTCACCCTAAAATAGCAGATAGAAGCAAAGTGCTTCTATGGGTTTTCTAATATTGGAGATCTTAGAGACAGGCAGATATATTCCAATATTCCTTTTTTTGCTGATATCAGACATCACTATCTGATCAGGAAATCCCTAGTACAGGGGTGGCCAACCTTTTTTAAACCAAGGTCTACTTTTGAAGTTGATGGCTTGCCGAGATCTACCAAGCCAAACACAAGGAATGGGCAGTATTTGTTTTTCATTTGCACAGGTGGAGAATAAACAGTAAGTCCAACAAACGAGGAAATTATCAATTGTGTCAAAAAATAGGTTGCAAAAACAGAACTTAATCTTATAAGAACTTCACACCATATCACTCACTCACTCACTCACTCACTCACTCAAACTACAGAAAAGGGCAGTCAAGATCTCCAGACAAAGGCTTTGCAGTCAAAAAATCTAAATAAACCAACTGATACGCACACAGTTCAGTAGAGATGGAAAAAAACAAAAAAAAACAAGATCTCTATATATATAGATATATATATATATATATATATATATATATATA